TCTATAAATTAAACACTTTTAGAATTATTAGAAATATTTTCAGCCTCTAGTTTTTGGTATACTAACAAAAACTGTCAATTGGTACCTTGACTTTAAAAAGTATAAGTACTTAGGAAAGTGCCTGAATTTCAGAACAGTTTGTTCAGTCGAAGAATCTTGCAGTCTCCTTAAATATAGATGAAATGATGTCCTAAATGATGAAAGATTATATTTGTTCAGTCAGCTGAAAATTACTTAGGCAAAGCAGGCTGACCTAATCTGATTAAAGTTTACCATCATATTTGAATACCAGCTATGTTATATAGAACTCTAGTCCCTAAAGCTATGTACATAAGAAAACAACCTAGTCTCTGTAGTCAGATAACTTAAAATTTTGGGTGTTTGAATTGTGAGTGTGTTTATACGTGCTTTGTCTAATTTGAGGGGAATACGTTTCCTTTTTTACCCCTAAGTTCTAATTTTTTGGTCCAGTTAATACTTTTAACATTATGTCTCCAATTTGTAGAAAGACATCCATAATCTATCCTCTTGATATTTAAAATACAAGTTCCAACAATTATTCTTTAGTATACCAGTCTCAGTTATCAGACTAACAATCATTGCAACAATTTGGAAGTTTACATCAATGTTATAAGAACGTAAATTAAATGTGTTTTAAATAATTATGAGGAATGATACTCTTCTATTTTATGTGTTCCTCTAGAGAAATATTTGTTGTTTTCTTTAAGACCATCTAGACTCCATGTGAAATAGATTCTTAGGTAGGTGCATGGCATTGATCACACTTGAAATTCAAAAAAGAATGGAGTATCATCATCTTTCTAAAATCAAAAACTTAAGCAACTGCAAATTCAGTATATACCTTAGAGAAAATAAAGCATCATCTTTGCTATAGTCAGATCCCATGACAAGGAAATAATTCAGATATACTCTTTAGGTTAATCTTAGCAGGATTTAATTTGTATTAAAGAAATTTTAAGCTGTGATTTACTTTTTTATATTTAGTATTTTCCAGGAGCAGATGAGCCGTTACAGTATCCTTGTCAGTATTCAGATGAAGGACAGAGCAACTCTGCCACCAGTACAGGTGAATGGATGGATAGAAAGAGTAATAACTTGATTTTTTTTTTTGGTATCTATTCCCATGGAATTATAATCAAGAAGCAATGAATGATATCTCCATTTGCATTTTAATTCCTTCATTTCATATGATTGACTGCAATTTGAGTTTCCAGGTGCATCATTCTTCATGAAGCACCCAGCTTAAAGAGTTATTGAAGGCTGGCTTCCAACTCTTGGAATTTTTGCAGTTATGCATAAAAAGATTGGATATTGTATTGCTGTGAATGTCATTCTTAATTTGAAAAATAATTTTTACGTGGATACTGCTAGATCAAGTAGTATTAGAAATTATTGAAAATGTATATATTTCTTCATCATTTAGTTCTCTTCTACAGAGACTCTTATTTAAGAAGCTGTGTTAAAAGTTCCCTAGTTTTCTAAAATATGAAGTAGTAGTGGGATGTGTAGTTTGTAGTCATCAAAAAAATAGTAGAAATAACATTTTAATTGGAAATATTGTATTTCTCAAAATATAATGGCCTTATAAGCCTTTCATTATTAATTAAAAGGAACGTGTGTGCATATGCACATATATTTATTATGCACTTAAAATTTTATTTTTATTCCCAAATATTTTTATTGGTCTATTTCTCCCACCTCAAGAATAGTTTTATTTATTTTAAGCTAGTTTACTGTTTGGCTAGTTATTCTCAAATTCCAGTTTTACTGAAAATGTTCAGTAAAAATATGAA